TTGGAAAATGTCAATCCTGAACTCCAGCTTATCAGGAAAGAGGGGGAAAAAACATACATCTATTTTTGTGCATGCAAAGATCATAGGTTTCCCTAAAATTTGTATAAAGATTGCACAGAAATCTAGCCCTAAATGCTGCTAGTGGTCCTCAAAGCTTTATCAATATAGTACAAATTCCATGCTAACCTTTTTTTTTAAACAAATAAAGTCCAGAAGCGGTGATGTAATACAAATGGACTATTTCACTATATGAGAAAAGAAAGAACTTAAAGCAAAACATACCATAGACAGAATTAAAGGCAGTGACAGACCAGGAGAGTGTTTTCATAACACGTAACAGACAAGGAATTAACCTTAGTTAGCCACATGAAGTGCCAACAGGAAGGAAGAAACAAAAGTCTAACAGAAAAATGGATGAAGGCCATAAACAAGAAACACAACTGACAACAGTCTGATGACAGACAAATGGTAAATCAGCATACAAGGAGATATCTGACTTTACTAATATTAAGAAATGAGGATTTTAAATTAAATATTAGGGCAGCAGGAAGACCTGAGGCTGGCCACCAGGATGGATTTCCCAGTGCTGAAGGCTGTAGCCGCCACACCTCGGGTCATCTCCAGGGAAAGTGGTGGAGTCACCTTCACTTCAAGTTCCTAGAAATCAGCCAGCGTAACCTTGGGACTGTGTCCCAAGAGCAGGTCAGAACACAGTCCCAGGATCAGACAGCCTGGGCTCGATCTTACGCTCTGTCGCTCACCAGCCAGGTGACCTGGGGCAGGTCTTTTGCTCTCCCTTAGCCTCAGTCTTCCCATCTGAAAATGGAATTAACAGCTGCCCATGAGGAGGCTGCGATGTTGCTATAAGATGACGCCTGCAAATTGAGCAGCAAAGTGCCCAGTACATTCCCACAACTGGGTTCACATCCTATGTGAGCACAAAGGTAAATGATTTCCTAAAAAGAAAGAACATATAATTCGTATTTTAAAATCAAATAAGTCCAACCAGAAATGCTTTACATATGTTCTCATGCATATCTTACATGTTTATGTATAAATATACTAATCCATGTCTACATATATTGTATAGTATACACACATATACTGGTAAATTTTTAATTATGAAACATTTTTAAAGGTGCAGCCTCACTGTAAAAACATTGTAAAAATACTATGTACCTCATAGGCAATATGAGAATTAAATGAGTTAATCATATACAGACCACGTAGAATAATGCCTAGGGTAGAGCAAGTGCTATTTCACTATTAGCTATTTATTATCATTATTATTACTAATGCAGAATGAGAAGACCAAATTGCTTTGAGACGTTCACTATGCCAGGTTATTTGCCAGGTACTAGGGATTCAGGGGTGAACAAGACAGACTCAAGCCTTACCCACATGAAGTGTCCTGCCCTGTCAGGTAAACATTAAACAAAGAAACATAAAACTACAAAAGTGCAAACTGTAATAAAGGTGATGAAGAAAAGGGACTGAGTAATCTGAGAGAGATGTGCTTTCAACAGGGGTGATAAACTTGTACCAGTCAGCCACATGCTGAGTCCTCTTCCCCACAGAGAGCAACAACATCGTTTATAAGATGGCTGCGGGATTCATGATGCAACTATGGCCAAAGAGCACCTGCCCAGATGGGACTCAAACCAGGGCCTTATATGACCAGTTTCATGCTCCTAACCAATAACCTGTGACCCTGTTCATGAAAATACTCCTCCTCCAACGCACCTCGCAAACCATGTCCTCATCACTCATTTGTTCATGCATGTATTCATGATTTTAACAAATGTTATTAATCATATATATTATGCATATGTTAATATACAGGCCATCATGGTCCCTACCAATAAAGGAACTTAAAATATAGCAGAGCAGCTCAGCAGCCACTTACTCCCCAACCCCGAATAATCCACTATTCAAACGCAAAATTATATATTCATTTAATATTTACTAACAAATGAAGCTTAGTTGGCTAAAAGTATCATATGTCACCAAATCTAAAACACCACTGATTTTAAGAAATACTAGTAAGTACTAGTAAGAAAGAAAAAATGCTGCTAATTTACTATAAGGTGTCAATTATAAGACATCCCAATTTTACAAATATAATGTAAAACATATGGGCCTATAGCAACAAAATCCTATCCTTCAGGGAAATGAAATTGTTCCCCCATACTTAGAGAAATTATTTTGAACACTCCCAATTATGTTTCCATGGAAAAACAAGCTTGAGGTCAGAAAAATCAAATCACTTTCCCATGGCTACACTGATTCATTTAGATAAGGCCATTTTGCATCTCTGAAATAAAGATTTGGTTCTTAGACACAATGGCAACACATACTAGCATCGGAAACATCACTGTTGAGGGTCCCCTTTTCCAAACTATACTTCTAAATGTTTTCCTGATTCCAAAACAGGCCTCCACAACATGGCAAACAGGCAGGTGGCACCTCTGAGCACGGTAGTCACCTTCTCCACAAACCACTGAGACTGCCCAAAAAAAAAAAAAATCAGAACTTCAAAAAGGAGCCTCAAAGTATCACACAGCATGTATTAGTGGAAAGGCCACCGCAGAGTCAGGAGACCTGAGGTCTAGTACCCATTCTGATACTGACTAGGAAAATGTTCTGGGTTTATTTCCTCATTTGCCAAACAAAGAAATAGGACCAGTTGGATTGTTAAGGTTCACTTTCTGGCATTAAAACACCATAATTCTGAGGTTCAAAAATACTGACTCTTGTTCCCTATTTATTGTAAAAGATCCAACTTATAGGAACTCCTGGCTTATGTTTAAAACAACCTTGCATTGCTTTATACTTCTTGACAAACTAATATTTCAACTTCAAAGGTGCTTATAAAATCCTGAAATTTTGTCATGGAAGAAATCTTTCCCATTTTTCATTTTATTTTCTCTCCCCACTTTAACGGGACTCTTGCTCTTTTTTCACAAGCTATAAAACTGGGTGGGTTTTTTTGGCTTAGGAAGTTCTAAACACTCTAGGCTGCCCTCAACCGGGCTCTTGAAAGCATCTACAAGTGTTTGGGTTTTTTTTTTCTAACTCAAATCAATATTGCAACACTTATGACCTTCAGCACGAAATGAACCATCAACTGAAACTTAAGAGAATAGAGGGAACAACATTGCCTGGCATCTCTAGCATTACTAACCTCAGAGCCTAAATAATTTGTGACTGCCTTAAAAAAAAGTTTGCAAGGTAATATCATTGTGGCTGCTGTTTTTCCAATGGGAGTAGAAATGGGCTTAGAAATGCGGCATAGAAAGAGAAGATTTCGGGGATTCAGAGGTTTTTATACACTGTAGTCTGTAACCCCTTTAATATAGAAGATAACTTGGTTTAGATCTCAGATCCCTCAGACCCTGAATAACGGGTTAATCACATGACTAGGATAATCGCAGACCACTCCAGCAACAGAATGCTAAACTAGATGATTTCTTAAGGATTCTGATCTTTTAGACACTCTTTCTTTCTTGACTCTCCTCCTACTAAGAGAGCAGACCTATCTGAGGCTAGCACTTTTCAGAAACTCAGACGAGAAAGACCTCAGAAGAGAAAGACATGGGTATAACTAACCACGTTTTTCCTTCTGCCTACAACACCCTCAACTGTCCTTTAAATTATACAGTAAGAATCTCCAAAAACCTTTCCCAATAAACCCAACTTTTTCCTACCTGCCAAAGTTATCTAGCCAAGTGTCTGTCCTCAAGTGATCTAGTAACTAAGTGTAGCTATTGTTGCACACTCATTGCACACTTTTAGAATGTAATCTTCTCAAGAAATGGATTAAGTCTCATCCAACATTCAGTACAAGCAGAATTCAAGACAAAGTGGAAGAAAGGAAGAGAAAAGAAAATTAACTTTAGTGAAGTGTCTATTACATCCCAGTGGCTTTATATAAATTGTTTCACTTATTCTGCACAATGAAACCAGATCATTCTGTACTTCATCATTTCTAGGATGCACATTTTTTCACTTTTTAAAATTTCTTAAATCAGGATGCATCTGACAAGCAATGGTGTGTCACAACTTTAATTAGCAATCATCTTCCACTGCCAGTGGTAGACAAAATAATACTGCATCTTACAAGTGATGGTGTCTCAGAATCACTAAAATATGGTATATTTTCATGGGATGTGAAATAGAAATTGAGGTGTACATTTAGAAACATCCCCAAGGTTATTACAGACTGTACAGGACTAGCCAGACTTCAAACCCGGATCTGCCTAATTCCAAAGTCTCTTCCTACACAACCTACCTAACAAAGATAGAGACTTGGAACATAGCAAGAATTTTCAATAATCAGCGTTACTCAAAGATTAGCAATCTTGGGTATTAAGTTTTCAGGAGCTGGGGGGTTCACACCGCCTGGTGGAAACATTGTAAATAAGTTGGTTAAGGTCCCAGCCAACCCTAAGCATCTAGGAGTTTTTTGGGCTATGCTGACTCTGGGTGCAGAACCCACCTTTCCGCTGACGCTACAATCTACAGAAAGGATGATCAGAAGTGTAGGAACTTCTGTACACGGATCAGCCTTACCCGCCAATTTCCTACTGATATCCTTCCCCTGCCTCTCAACCCACTCACCCTCCCAGCTGAGTTCATCCTGGATCACCTCCCTCTCCTTCCCAAATAGCGCCAGTCCAGATGCCGCCCCCATCCCACCACTCATCACCGCGGGCACAAGACCATGCCCCCAGGTCCGCAGGGTTCGCAGACCCGAATCCTGGCTCAGCCACCCTACGTCCCCATCCGCCAGCAGCCTAGGTCACTCCCCGGGCCACATCTCCAGCAAACCTCTCCCCTCCCCCTCAGAGGGTCCCCGATTTGGGGCCAGACTCTCCCGGCTCCCGGCCCCCGCCGAGGTCCCGCCCCGGAAAGCCCAGCCGCGGTCTGGACCAGGACACTGCGCCCGGCAGGGACAGACACTCGCGGGGCCTGGAGGAGAGAGTCCCTGCCGGACTCACGGAGGAAGGAGCGCAAGAGGAGGCGGGCGGTGGTGAGGCCGGGGCTGCCGGAGGCCATGGTTGCAGTGGCAGCGGCGGCAGCAAGGGCTGCGGTCATTCACCAATGACACTCGCAGGCCCCCGGGCAGGGCCGAGGCACGAAGAGGAAGCGGATGGCCAGGGCAGTCGCCTGAATGAATTTCCCTCCGCCGAGGCCTCTTCACCCAACACTGGGGCTCTCAGGTGGAGAAGAAAAAAGGAATCTTCACGGAGAAGTAGACTGTAACTGGGATCTTCCCCAAATTGTGGGTTTCATTCAACATTAATTACCAAGGCATTTTAGGGAAAACCCCACGCAAAGCTGGTCGGCGCGCGCCATTGTGGGAAATGTAGTTCGGTGGCGCCGCTTGTTTAGTTTAAGTGGGGCCTCCGGGAAGCGAAGCGAAGGAGAAGGGGGAAGGCAAACCAGGAGAGCAGGTGGCGGAAGCAGTGAGGAAACTGTGAGGTGCGGTGCAGAACTTTCCGTGTCCCTAGGCCGGTGTGCACCTTCATTTTCCTCTTCTGCCATATGCAGAGGGTAAGACTCCTCTCCGCCTACCCCGGCGAGGACCCGGAAGGATTACCATCAGTGAATCTGAACCCCTGCTAGTGTACGGTGAGGTATGGACGAGACACACCAAAAGCTACCTTACTGACGCTTAATTTTTTGGACTGTAGATCTCTGGGTAAAACAAGCTGTCATAGAGTCTTCGACGAGTACTAAGTGAATGAGTGGCTTTTCCCTAGGGAATCTGGAGGACTATAGTTGTAGGTTAAATGTGACTGCTCCCTGTTTGAACAAACCGTCCACTGCTGTAAGAGCCTTAGAAGGAACCTCAGACAGTCCCCGAGTCAAAGGGTAAACAAGAGATAAAGTAATCCACCTCCCTGCCTCCAACTGTGCTCCTGAGATTCCTCATCATTTTATTAAATGAAATTCTAATCCTAATTTACTTAAGTAGTCATTGTAATTGATACTGAGCTGGGTGATGTATGAGTGGGATTCCCTAAGGAGATTGCCCAGTATTTCCTCTATGACCCAGATATTGTCAGTCCCAGGTTGGACTTGCCTGCACACAAAAGCCCTCCCTCATCTAATGGATCATGTCCTGTGATCATTTAAATATTATCAGTGGTTTCCAAATAGGTCCAGTATGAAGACTCATTTTAAATAGAAAAGTTCTTCCTGAGCCTTCACATGATAATAGTTATATTTTTAGTTTCACTTAATTGGTAAAATGTGTGATTGTCACCCACTAGGGGCCTCGAGAAACTCAAAGGTGGGTTTGGAAGCAATTAACTGTTTTTCCAAGTTGTTTCTTTCCCTTTTGTATGTTAAGGAGATGTAACCACCAACCATCCTGAAACTGACCAAACCTCACCACAAGAGCTATGCCTATGACCTTTGTCTTATTTTTAATGCAGAGATCTCTCCAGGAGGAGCTTAGGCCTCATTATGTGGAAGCATGTTCTCCAACTGAACCTGTGCAAGTGAATACCCACCTCTCTCTTTTGAATATTCATTATCCAAACAAATAAATGTTCCTGCTTTCCTTTGTTCAGGACGCCATGACTTTGGAAATGATTCGTCATGGCCTCCTATTTACTGCAAATACACTTTACTTCGTGAGACAACTTCCACTGGTGTAGAGTCTTATTTAACTCACCAGGAGGCAAGCCCACTTGGTTCACTATCATGACAAAAAATTTAATTTTGGTATAGTTTTAATGAATTTTTATTTCCACGAGGACAGGGATTTTAGGTTGTTTTGTATACTGAAGTGTCCCCAGCACCTAGAACAATACCTGACACAAAGAGAGAACTCATTATTTGTTGAATTGAATTGATATATAAGAAATACCAAATTCATTTATTTATTGAACCCACACACAATGTTTGATGGACCTAAGGATATTTCAATCCCTCATAATAACTACACTTCTACCCCAATTCCATAGTTCACTGATGGGAGACAATTGCAGTAGACACTAACTACACCATTCATCTTTATATGCAGATTGATTTTGGAGTCAGACAGATCTGGATTCAAATTCCAGTTCTGCCAGTGGCTGTGTGACCTCTGCGTCTCAGATTTTCTCACTGAGAAGGGATTAAACTGCCTATCTCATGATAGTGTTGTGAGCAGTTAATGCATTAATACGTAAAGTTCTTAGTACCTTGTATGCCGTCGGTAAATGGTCATTATTATCATTAAAGATAAGAACTTTCTTCTTCACATGGCAGGTTGACATTTTGAAGCTTTTGCTGATGTGAGTAACCAGACATGGAATAGGATATCTCCATTTGTGTCAGAATTTTGGCTAAAGCCCCAAAGCTGAGGGCAACAGCCCATATGTACCTGCACCTCCTAAGAAGGGCAGCCTAGGCGCTACCTCTCGCCAGATTTTGGTAAGAGGAGGTCAAAATTGTCTTTGGATTCTCCCCCTCACACCCCAGCCGGCTCAAATAAGCAAAATACTGGAATTCACTGAATGAGGAAATTCTGGGTCATGAGTTGTCAGTTGAATGTTCCCCTTTCCTCTCACCCCCAGACAGCTTGGTGGGAGAGGGCTGTTTAGAAAAAGAAGACTGGCACTAAATCCCTGCAGGACTGCAGAAATTCATGAGTCCACATCAGTGCTCTAGAGTAGATCTGGTCAAAGAATGCTCAGGAAAACTTGAGTTTGGATGGCGGACCTAAACTTAGAGACTAATGTCTGCTTCCTGCCTGGAGAACTCAAGACAGGAGGCTGGCTGGAACAGCCGTCCTTGGAGGCAGGGCAGTATTTGGTGTGGCAAGGTGTGTAATATTCCCATGGGTGAAATGGACGCGATGAAAAAAAGCTGAGCTTCCTCCTAAGGCTCATCTGCTGGGGCAAGGAACCGCAGCATAAAAGATCATGGACCTGCCTCCAGGGGCAGGAGGGGGGTGGAGGGAGTTACAAGAGGTCAGCCAAAGAGCACAAACTTGCCTCAGGATACTCTGCAGATGTAGTTCCCTAGGTGGGGGAGGAGGAATGGATCTACCAAAAAGCCAACAAAGTGCCAGAGTTCCAGAGCATATGGACCTTCAGGAGAGAGCCACAAATAGCACCATCTAAGAGATTTTATCCCAGCGTCACCCCACCGCTGCAGGAGCCCAGAGTAGGGCAGTGAAGCTGAGCAGGAGGGAAAGAAGGAGAAGAAAACAGACTGACTCCTTCCCAGCTGCGGGTTGCGGAGCCACAGGTCATGCCAGGCCTGGGAGTGAGGAAGGAGCTTTGAATTAGGTATAAGATTTACGTTTCAGGGGCCGGCCATGTCGGTTAGCGGTTAAGTGCGCGCGCTCCGCTCTGTTAGCTCAGAGCCGGTCTTCCTCAGCAAAAAGAGGAGGACTGGCATGGATGTTAGCTCAGGGCTGATCTGCCTCACACACACAAAAAAAAGCCTTAAGTTTTAAATTATGTTGAGTGGGAATTATTATTATTATTTTTGTGTGTGAGGAAGATCAGCCCTGAGCTAACATCTACCAATCCTTCTCTTTTTTTTTTTGCTGAGGAAGACTGGCCCTGGGCTAACATCTGTGCCCATCTTCCTCCACTTTATAAGGGCCGCCACATCATGACCTGACAAGCGGTGCGTTGGTGCGCGCCCCGGATCCCAACCAGCGAGCCCTGGGCCTCCGCAGCAGAGCGTGCGCACTTAACCGCTTGTGCCACTGGGCCGGCCCTGAGTGGGAATTATTAGTTTTAAAAATAGGTAATTTATTCCCATGGATCAAAATTCAAAAGATACAAAAAATTTATACAGTGAGAAATCTTCCTTTTACCTGTTTCCCCACCACTGGGCTCTCCCCAGGGGAAACCAATATTATCCAATTTCTTGTATTTCCTTCCAGATCTATTTTGTGCATATACAAGCATAACATATATCCACTTCCACCCCTACCCCTGCCCTTCACCCCTCTATGTGTCCACCAATGTAGGAAGAATCGGGGATGATCAGGGCTTATGAACAGGGCTTTTCGGGGAGTAAAGAGACTAGCAGTCAGGGTAGCTAGTGTCCATGGTGGCAGCCCCAGGGCAGTGTCCTTTTCTGCTTAAGTTAACTTGCTTTGGTCTCTGCTCTTTGCAACCAAGAATCTTGGCAGGTCTGAGCTGAGTAGTAAGGCTCAATTTGTTCAAGCAAAGTCTCTCATTTGTGTTGTTTTTAAGGAAATAAATCAGTTATAGTCACTGATTTTTATAATCCAATCAGACCAGAAAGGAGAAGAGTCTGACCAAGACTCTGGTAGATTCTCTGCCTGATAAAGGAAATTTGGTTCATTACATATAAAAGCAGTTATAGTTCTGTCTTACCTTGATTTTAATATAAGACCCCATTTTGCCAGGATTTTGGATCCATCTCCTTAAACCAGAGTTTTATCTAAATTTCTGGAGTAATGCTGGGGTGAGGTGGATGAGGTGGAAGGAGCATTTGGTCCTCTGTTTGTGCTGACATCCCCTGATCTGTACATCCTTCCATCTAGTCCTCAGCGGCTAGTCCAGCTACTGCTGCATCATCCCTTACTCCTACTTGCAAGGCCCCTTTTGGTCTGGCTCTGTCAGCTATCTCTGGGCTCTTCTCAAATGCATGAGAACCATTCAGCCCCTCTGGTGCTATGTTGGGCCACAGGAAACACCCCTGCTTGCCTAGACATACCATTTAGCTGGATCTTGCCACCATCTGCTCTCACTCGCTCTCTGTCTGTCTTTCTCTCTCAGGCGCCACAAGTCCTTGTGCTATAGACTGGGTTCTTTCCCCCCTCCAAATTCATATGTTGAAATCCTAACCCGGAACATGACCATATTTGGAGTAAAGAAGTAATTAAGGTTAAACAGTCATAAGGATGGGGCCCTAATCCAATCTGGTTAGTGTCCTTATAAAAAGAGACACCAGAGAGCAATCTCTCCCCCCACCCCCCACCCCCATCCATGTGAGTACACAGTGAGAAGCCTGCAAGAAGCCAGGAACTGAATTGATCAGCACCTTGATCTTGGACTTCCCAAACTCCAGATTTGTGAGAAAATAAATTTCTGTTGTTCAAGCTACTCAAAATACTGTGGTATTTTGTTATGCAGCCTGAGCAGACTAATATACCCTACTTCATGTGTCCCCCAAATCGTTCTGGTGATTCTTTTGACTGCTCTCCTTACACCTCTAAGCTGGAGGAGTAGGGGGATTAGCACCTAAGATCTCCTGACTTCCCCTCTTCCTCCCTAGCCTGGGGATC